TTTAATTTTTTTTTAAAGATTTTATTTATTTATTTGACAGAGAGAGAGATAGCGAGAGCAGGAACACAAGCAGGGGGAGTGGGAGAGCGAGAAGCAGGCTTCCTGCCGAGCAGGGAGCCCGATGTGGGACTTGATCCCAGGACCCTGGGATCATGACCTGAGCCGAAGGCAGACGCTTAACAACTGAGCCACCCAGGCGCCCTAGATTTGATCTCTTATAAAAAAATGAAATAAAAAATAAAAGTGAGGAATCGGTAGATGACTATTTCAGTATTCCTTTAAGAGATTAGGGTCTACACAAAGGTAATGGCAGTAAGAATGGAAAATTGCAAATAGATACTGGAAAAGGAGAAGCTAAATCTAGAAGTTGCCTTGATCAGGTGAAGGTGGTGGCAGAAGGGAACAGGAAAGATGAGGCAGAAGAAAGAGCCAAAGGAAGACCATGGTTGGAAGAACAGAAATACCAAAACACCAGGAAATACAAGGCAAAAAAAAAAAAAAGCTGAAAATAAGGAGGCAAATACATGGACGACACTGTTCATTTCCACATCTGCATTTTGATGAATACCACTTGAAATCATGCTTCTATTATGCTAATAAAGGGTTCTGCACCTGGTTTAGCAATGGGGTGATGGCATCATCGCAACGATCTAAAATAAGCAGCAATGGAGGCACCTCAGTCCGCCGGAATTCAAACAGTTCATATTCTTTAGTTATTACCTGCTGTGGATGTGAGAGAAAGATGGTTTGGTCAACCAATTAGTTGCAGACAGAGATGACATAAACAGAAAATTAATACATAAAAAACACATTTAACAACAGTTCTTTGCACCTTCATAGGCCTTCCGAAAAGGATTAAAGGCTTGACAAAGTTTGGTAGCATCCTGTTTAAGAGGTTAGGATTTAAAACTCTATTTTACAAATGGCTTAATTGGATCAAAATAAGTATTTAACTTATTTAGCTTGCAAATGTTTCTGGAGTTAAGCCTAAAAATTTTAGCCCTAATTTGTTGCTTTTGATTTTTTATTACAAAGACCTCTCTCTTTGCCAGTAAAACTAACACGTCAACTCCTTGGTTATAGAAAAAATATTGCTATAGTTTCTGAAATATGATAAGGAAATGGATGGTCTTCATGCTTTGGAACTGGGGATAGGGAAAGCCATACCTTAACACATTCTGCAAGTCTTTTTGCTGCTTCTGATGAAAGCTGGTAGCGAATCATGGGACATTTCTTCAGAGATAAAAGGAGAGCTGTCAGTCCTTGAGTTGTTCTGGATAGTTGGGCTGGATCCCAATTTCGACCCTTTTTGTTAAAAATGTATATTCAGAGAAAATATGTGAATTTTTTCTTACAAGTCCAATTACTTGCTGAATTAACTCCCACCTGATAAATAAACTTATTTTTTTATCCTTTCCTTCCATACCTGGCAGCAACCCAAAATATTGAGGGAAAACAAATGTGGATTCACAGCAATATAATCACCATAAAATTCCTGCAATCAAAGCATCAAGATAAGTCAGTCATTTCATAAATTCCAACTGTATCATATAGTAATATTTTCATATGTGATATAATGCTATGTGATATAATCAAATTTGAGGAAATGCAGATGTAAAAGAGATACAAAAATTGATCAATTGAGTAGCAATAGTCAATGTGGAAGAATAAATTATAAAATGGCAGCAATTATAATAATCGTTTAAAAAACAAAAAGTTGTAGAAGTATGTATATTACATTTCTGGAGACTTCTGTGTACACTTATCAATTAGTAAAAATAAGACACTGCTATAGGATATACAATGTTACACACAGATGAAAAAGAACTTTGCTGTCCAGTGTATTCTTTTTTTTTTTTTTTTTTTTGGTCCAGTATATTCTCATGAGGGAGAATATGTTTTAAAATAGGTCATTCTTGGGCGCCTGGGTGGCTCAGTTGGTTAAGCGACAGCCTTCAGCTCAGGTCATGATCCTGGAGTCCCCGGATTGAGTCCCACATCGGGCTCCCTGCTCAGCAGGGGGTCTGCTTCTCCCTCTGACCCTCTTCCTTCTCGTGCTCTCTGTCTCTCATTCTCTCTCTCTCAAATAAAAATAAATAAAGTCTTCAAAATAGGTCATTCTCTTTTTTTAATTATTATTATTCATTTATCACCTAGCACATCCTTCTGAAAATCCAAAACTTGTTAATTTGCTGCCCTATTCTTCACTTAGGTGATAAATGTATTCAGACATTTGTGATAAATGTATTCAAGAACACTAAAGTTTTTAAGAAGTAAAAGGTAACATGACATGTTCTGATGTGATGTATTATATAGCATGCAGAATATTCAGGAGTTATCAATGACAAAAGTCTACTTTTTACCTCCCAGAGCAAGATAATCACAAACAGAACTTTAACAAACCTCTTTCACATCCTTTACTTCCTATTCTTTTCCAATCACACATAGCCCTGTAGATGAACATTCTTATAATGTGGTTCATAAAACTAGCATAGAATATATCTGACTCTATTCCCATCCCTGTGAAACCCTCCCTACCCATTCAGTAGGATCCAGTACCAGTCCAATCTCCTTATTCCCACTGACTCCTTTAATTCTGTTCCCACCCAATTTGATACCTCTTACAAACTTTCTAAGTATGAGTATAAATAGTTTGGTGGAATGCACATTTACAATGTCTGATCAATAGCCTCCCTTTTGAGACAGTACCTTTCTTATTGTTAGACTCAAATCTTTAAAACGGGCCAATATAGGAGATGTGTTGAGGACCAATATGTTTACCTGAACCTCAGCCACAACTTCCTGTTCATCAGCTTCAGCTAATGACTTCACATCACTCTTGCTGATCACATTACTGAAATCTGAAACAGACATATGAGTTGTGGCTGACTCAAAGGAGATCACTTTTGCTGCAATTAGACATAAAAGAGCCTAATGACTAAGTGAAGTTTGGTATACACTGTGGTATATGTCAAAGTCAAACACCTTCAAACTGAAATGAGTAGTACAAATATATTTAAATCCATAAATTCATAATAATACTTAAAAAAAAGATCACCATGTAGGCATTGGAGGATGCCAGGGAACCAAGTCATTATGCTGAAAATAGCAAGTAAAGGGAAAGAAGTGAGTTTTTATTCTGTTATATACAAACTGTACCACAGATAACCAAATAGTAGATGAGGGGAAATTTCTCTTTATGGAAATATTCCAGCTAAAAAACAAAGAAGGAATAATCATGATAGAATTAAAACATCATCATTTTTATCAACCACTAATGAATCAATGGATGGACCTAGGCATTGAGCATCAATTGATGCTAATATCACAATAAGAGACAATCAAAGAAAGCACACAACACTGACTATGAAATATTCTTCCCAAGAAGAAATCAAATCTAAATCTAATTAAGCTTCTATATCCAAGTACCAATTTCCTAAAGGATAGAGGAATATTTCATTTATTTGGTTTTTTGTTTGTTTATAAGAATCATTTATTTATTGTAGAGAGAGAGAGAGCATGCATAAGTGGGAGGGGAACAGGGAGAGGCCGAGAGAATCTCAAGCAGATTCCACACTGAGCGCAGAGCCTGGCGGGGGCCTTGATCCCATGATCCTGACATCATGACCTGAGCCAAAGTCAGATGCTTAATGGCTGAGCCACCCAGGTGCCCCAAGAAAAATCATTTTTAAGAACAAATTTTTAGTGGGTCGCCTGGGTGGCTGAGTCGGTTAAGTGTCTGCCTTTGGCTCAGGTCACGATCCCAGGGGCCTGGGATGGAGACCCGTATTGGGCTCCCTGCTCAGTGGGGAGCATGCTTCTCCCTCTCCCTGCTGCTCCCCCTGCTTGTGCGTTCGCTCTCTCTCAAATAAATAAATAAAATCTTAAAAAACCAACAACCAAAAAACCCTAAATGTTTTTAGGACCCATATTTAGGTGGTAAAAATATAAAGAAAAAGCAAGTAAAACCAAGAGTCAATGCTTAACTGATTGCACCACCAAGGCACCCCAGGAAATTTTAAACTGCAAAGAATATGTTAAACTACCCTATCGGGATGCAATCAGCAAGATGCAGGCTGTGAGAAATTTTAACAAAACGATATAGTTTCCTCAATAAATAAATTGCACTGCAGAGAGAGAGATCGAGAGAGACAGAAAGAGAGAGAGAAAACACCTATAGAAGATTAAAGGAACTTAAACAACATATCAATCAACAGCTTGTGTGGATCTTATTATGATCATAATTCAAATACAAAAACAGTGAGAAAACCACCAAAACAAAACCATAAGAGAATTTGAAATTTGAACACTGAGTATTTGAAAATAGGAATTATTGTTCATTATTTGGATATGTATAATAATGGTATTTTATTTTATTTGTTTTTTATAATAATGGTTATTTTATAAAATGTGTCCTTATCTTTTAGAGATGCATACTTAAATATTTAGGGAGGAACTCATATGACGCCTTAGATCTCCTTCAAAATAACATTGGTGGGGGAGTAGGTGGCAGCAGAGCTAAAACAAGATAGGCCATGGCAAAGCAACTTTTGCAACTGGGTGATGGGAACATTGGAATTTATTATACTATTTGTATATATTTGAAAACTTCCATAATAGAGGTTTTTTTTTAACAAAGGAAGGAGGAGCCTATTATACAATATATTTAGTAGACATAAAAATACAAAAATAAAATTATAAAAAAATGAGATGAGCAGAAGGCCAGTTTAGTGTTGATATAAATTGTGCTGAAAATTTGTAATGGATAAAATCACTATATACAAACTCATTTAGTTCATTTTAATCAAATAAAATTGTGAAATTGATTGCTTTACCCAAGTTCCAAGAGTCTATTTTTCCTAGGCTTTAGTGCTACTTTAATATATACCATTTTTTTCTTCTACTTCATAGAATCACAGTGCAGATCAAACAACCTTTAGAACCAGAAGAATAGACATTAGATTATTGGTTACTAATCTCAACTGCTGCCTCAAAAAACTCTCTTTAGAGGAAAAAGGAGTCTTTCATCTCATGACCTACTCAATTTTTAAATGAGAGACTCAGCACAAGAAGTGATTCCATTATATGTCTACTTAAATTCGACAGCACAAGGAATCTCTCATATATTCCTACACACACACACACACACACACATCACTAAGTAAAAGTTTCTACACTTTCCTAAGTACCTAACTTGTGATCAGACTAAAAATACTGTAATGACTACACACTTATCAGAATGGCTAAAACAAAAAATAAGGGCAACACCAAATGCTCATAAGGATGCAAAGAAACTGGATCACCTGTACAATGCTAGTGGAAAGTAAAATGGTATGGTCACTCTAGAAAACATTTAGCAGTTTCTCAAAACACTAAACATGGAACTACCATATGACCCAGCAATTGATCTCCTGGACATTATTTACTACAGAGAAATAAAGGCTCAGGCTCACACGAAAACTTACACACAAATGTTTATAACAGCTTTATTTGTAGTGGCCAAAACTGAAAACAACTCAAATATCCTCCAATGGGTAGTTAAAAAAATTGTGGTATATCCATAACATGGAATACTACTCAGTAATAAAAAGGAATGAACTACTGATACATGCCACAACCTGGATGAATCTCTAAAGAATGCTGAGTGAAAAAGGCCAATCCCAATGGGTTATATACTGTATAGTTTCATTTATGTAACATTCTTGAAATGACAAAATTATAGAAATAGAGGACAGATTAGTGGTTGCCAGAGGTTAATAAGGGGATTGGGTGGGAGGGAAGTGGATCTGGTATAAAAGGGCAATATGAGAGATCCTTATGAAGATGAAAATGTTTTGTATCCTAACTGTATCAGTGTCAATATCCTGGATGTGGTATTGTACTATTAGTTATGTGAGATGCTGCACTGGGGGAAATGGGTTTAAGAATAAATGAGATCTCTGTATTATTTCTTACAACTATATGTGAATCTACAATTGTCTCAAAATAAAAAGTTAAATTATGAAAGAAAGCCTGTGACTATAGCCAAAAGGAAAAAAACCCAAACAAACACTAGGGTGGAGGAAAGTAATAAAATTGCCAATTTTTACCTCTTGAGGTTGTTGTAAGGGCTAAATGAAATAATATATGTGAAAGTTCTTTATAAAATACTCTTATCACAAATGTTAATTTTTGGTACCATTATTTAATTGTAGCACATAATGTAGAAAGTATGTGTATCTTGGAGTATAATCTAAACCCTAAAACTCCAAAGCCTTCAAGTAAGTTTTAAAATTTTGCAAATGCCCTACATACTGAGAGTTAAGGTTTGTCCTTGGTTTTGGAAATGGCACCAAATAAACTAGACTTACTAATCCCATAAAGATCAATAATGACATCTAGAGGAGAATGGATGTAACTTCCAAAGCAGAATGTATTACATCAAGAAAGATCATATAAAATGTATAGTAACCACAAACCTAGTTTATTTCCAGAACTCTGCCCTCCCCCTACCCCCCCAAAAAGTTATGTACATAAGAGATACCTACTGGATGTCTTGTACTTTCAAGCATTACATAAAGTAGCAAAAAGAAATGGAATGTTTTCATCTGGTATGTAAGTAAATCTCTGCTTTTCCAACAAACTCAAGCATATCCTCCTCCAAGTAAAGAAATCAGCTTCTATGCCTCAGTTCATAAAAGTATAAAATAGGAGTAAGTATACACCTTTTTTGTTTTGTTTTGTTTTGTTTTGCAGAGGTGGGATGTGAAATTTGGCTACTTGTAATTTTTGACTTATAAAGAATCTTGATAGGCAAAGTAAAACTTAAAAAGTAATTTTTACCTAATCCATCAATTATATAGAAAATCCCACTTAGCTCTCTAAAATAACATTGCTTGGGGGAGCCTGCGTGGCTCAGTTGGTTAAGCGGCTGCCTTCAGCTCAGGTCATGATCCCAGGATCCTGGGATCGAGCCCCGTGTCGGGCTCCCTGCTCAGCAGGGAGCCTGCTTCTCCCTCTCCCTCTGCCTGCC